TCACTGACACAGATGCTGAGGATACAGGCAAAAGTAAACTCAGTTTCTTGTGCTGTATTCTCAAAATGCAGAATACTTCTGTGACTTCATCAAAATGTGTGTGAAGCAATCCTACAGATTTTCCAGCAGACACGGGCTGGGCGTCCTCTCATTTGATTCAACTCTGACACCATCTACCTGGAAGTAGCGTCAGATCCCACAGGTTGAGAGCTCAATCCCACAAGACTGCCGCTTGCTTCAGAAGCCATTCACAAGCCCCAGGCTATTTTATCCATGCTTCTGACTGATAAACCATAAATGAGGGTTCCCACAACTCCTTCCTTGGTTTCAGTTAATTTGTTAGAATGGCTCACAGAACTCAGGGAAACACTTTTTTTGTTTACTGATTTATTATGAAGGGTATTACAAAGGATACAGATGAACGACCAGATGGAAGAGATGGATAAGGCAAAGTGCATGGGAAGGGGCAAGGAGCTTCCATGCCCTCTATGGATGAACCAACCTCAGGAACCTCCACGTTTTTGGCTATCGGGGGGCTCTTCTAAACCCTGTCCTTTTGAGTTTTTATGGAGGCTTCATTACATAGGAATGGTTGATTATATTATTGGCCATTTTTGACCAACTCAACCTTCAACCCTTCTCCTCATCAAGGAGATTGGGTATGAGACTGAAATTTCCAACCCTCTAATCACATGGTTGGTTCTGGTAGCTAGCTGCCATCGTGTAGCTATCTAGGGGCCCGGCCACCAGACATCCCATTAGTATACAAAAAACTAATGACTCTGGAGAGACTCCACGCATTTTCAGAGCTGTAAGTCAGGAAACTGGAAGAAGACCAAGTACATATTTCACAGTACCACAAATTTCTTGTAGGTTCAGTGTTATAAATTGGGGTTCTAATTCCCATTTCATATCTTTAAAATACCTAAAAACTGAATAGTAAAATTGGTGAAAGTCAACACTCCAGAAATACTGTATGTAGACATTTTTTTGTGTGTATAATCAGATAACTTAATACAAAAGCTGTGTCATACATTTCCCTCTTTGGAGGTTTTTCTTTATGGATTGGAATGTCAGGTTTTTCCAAATAGAAATCCATTGTGACTTTTACTGAAGGGGCCTTCTTGATAAAACGCCCAAAGCTAGCAATAAGCATTCTTTACTTGAGAGAACTTCATACCAACTTCAAAATAAGCTACTCCAATTTTTGAACATGTGTTTGCGGATTTCATGCGGGAGAATGATTTGAATATCCTGGTAAGGCATATCTATGTAGGAGACATTTCTTTGCTGAGTTTTATAGGTCCCTTGCATGTCCTAAGCAGGTCTCAGTGTTGGCTGAAGTTTACATTCGAATGTTGTTTTTTTTACAGATATCAGGAGTTTGTTTCCATTTCATTTGAGTACCTACTGTGGGCCAGGTGCTTTGGATACACAAAAATGAATGAGGCATAAATCTACCACTCAAAGAATTCATTTTCTCTAGGCTAAGATGTGAAACAGTTGTCCATCAATATCCATGGGGGATTGGTTCTAGGACCTTTTGTGGATACCAAAAATCCGTGGATGCTCAAGTCCTGATATAAAATGTATATATAGCATTTGCATATAATCTATGTACATCCTCTGGTATACTTTAAGTCATTCCTACTTATAATACCTAATACAATGTAAATGCCACATAATAGTTGTTAACACTGTATTTTTAAGGGAATAATGACAAGAAAAAAGCCTGTGCATATTCAGTACATATGCATTTTTTTTCAAGTTTTCAACCTGAGGTTGGTTGAATACACAGGTGAGGAACCCACAGATATGGAGGCTGTCTGTATATAAAAAGTCGGTGATAAGTGTTAGGTAGGTTCAGTAACAGATATGTATTATAAAATGTCCTGGAGTTTGAGAGAATGGAAGGTTTATTTCCACATGTGTAATCAAATAAGTCATTTGAGCTATGCCTTAAAAATTGAATAGGATTTGGACATATGAAGATGATGGGGGTGTGTTTAAGTAAACTTCATGCCATAAATAATGCTATTTCCAGTATTTATTATTATTTGTTATGAGTAAGCCATGGAGAACTTAATTTTTTTAAAATTAATGAACGTAAAAGTAATCCATGTTCATTGTGAAACGTTTTGGAATGTGTGGCCCATATGAAGAAGAAAGTACAGCCTCTTTGCCCAGATAACTACTGTTGACACGCAGTGAACTGCCCTCTGCTCTCAGGTGTAGTCACTTAAGTTTAAGTAATCCTTAGGTGTCAAAAAGTTCGCTGGCCAGTTTTCTGACTATATCCATAAAATTTCAATTTATTGTACTTTCCAAATAAAATATAAACTGAACCCAAACATATTCTGTATCAAACATGCTCTAAACATAGTTATTGTGTTTTTCTTTCCTCATGCTAACTACAACATTTTGTAAGAAATACCCTATTTAGATGCTAGTGACTTTCCTTGTCTTCCAAGGGAAATTGATCAGGAAAGAAAGTGATGCTTAGCCAGGATCATATGTTTTTGTTTGTTTTTAGATTTAAGAAAAAAAGTTTTTCTATTAAAATGCCTAATTATTTTTTTTTGAAAACAACTTTTTTCTCATTTCCTCATTCTTTTACTTTTTTATTGTGGTAAAATATGTGTAACACAATTTACCATTTTGTCCATTTTTTGGTTTATTTGTTTTTTTGGACATAGGATCTCACTTTTTTGCCTCAGCATGAGGGCAGTGGCATGATGATAGCTCACAGCAACTTCACACTCCTGGACTCAAGTGATCCTCCTGCATCAGCCTCCCGAGGGGCTGGGACTATAGGTGTATGCTACCACGCCTGGCTAATTTTTTCTATTTCATTTTGTTCTTTTTTAAGTATACAATTTAGAGACATTAAATGTGTTCATATTGTTGTGCAAGGATTACTGTTATCCATCTCCAGAACTTTTGCATCTTCCCAAATTGAAACTGTGCCTATTAGACAGTAGTTCCCCATTTTTGCCCCTACAGCAGCCCCTGGGAACCACTATTTTATTTGAATTTGACTATTCTAGGTATCTCATGTAAGTGGAATTATAAAATATTTCTCTCTTTGTGTCTTGGCTTATTTTACTTAATGTTTTCAAGGTTCCTTCATGTTGTAGCATGCAGCAGAATTTTATTCCTCTAGCCTGAATAATCTATTATATGTACAGTATATACCACATTTTGTTTATCCATTCTTCCATTAATGGACATTTAGGTTGTTTTCACCTTTGGGCTATTGTGAATAATACTATTATGAACACGGGTATTCAAATATGTGTTTGAACCTTCTTTTCAGTTCTTTTGGGTATATACGTAGGAGTAGAATTACTGGATCTTATGGTGTTTAATTTTTCAAGAAATCATCTTACTATTTTCCACAGTGCCTGTACCATTTTACGTTCCCATCAATAGTGCACAAAGGCTCCAAGTTCTCCACATCCTTGCCAACACTTGCTCTTTATCTATTTTTTTTTTCTTTTACCAAGTTGTGATTTGATCTTTTTTTTTTTTTTTTTAATATAATAGACATGGGTATGCAGTGGTATCTCAGTACGGTTTTTATTTGCATTGTCCTCATGATTAGTGATGGTTATTATCTTTTCATGTCCTTATTGGGTATCTGTATATCTTCCATATTTGGTTATGTAGCCTAATCTCTTCTGCCCCACCTTCCCCTGCCAGTACTTCAGGTAGTTTTCAGTGTCATTAACAGCTGTTTGGAACCATAATTTTGAATGATTATCTACTATCCTGCCATATAAAGTCCCTTATTGTAATGGTTTTCACATGATAAAACCTTCAGGAGTAGAACTTTTGGGAGTTTTAATTGTAAATCTTATAATGATGAACATCTGAGTACATAAATATTTTATATTTTTTAGATAGATGGCTGGATTCATTTTAAAATTCTTGTTATGCTTATATTTAAAATTGCTTTTTAAGAACATTGTTTTGTAAGACTTGATATGCTTCTAGTTGAATTCACTCCTTTTTCTACTTTGTAGCTGCTGAGCAGAATGGAATTGTTCAAAAATCTAACTTTCATGTCAAATGTTGTTAACTTTTCTAGTCTCTGTCTCTAGTCTCACTCTCATTTCCATTCTCCTCTCTTGTCCTGTGGTTTATCCCTTTATTTCTTCACTGCCATTTTGTTAAATAGTTGGAGTTTGTGAGATTGCACATTTAATGTATCAATTTAGTTGAAAGTTTATAAATTTCTAAAATCTTGTAAATGAGTGCTTAGTCCACATTATTAAGTATTTCACTTAAAATCTCAGCAAAGACAAAGACTGAATTGTATACTTATAAAAGTTATGAGTTGCATGTAGTCAGTATTCTAGATCGGGGGTTTACAATCTTTTTTTCTAAAGGTCCAGGTAAATATTTTAGGCTTTGTGGCCATATAGTCTTAATTTCTTTCTTTCTTTTTAAAAAATGTAAAAAAACTTTTTTTTGTTTGTTTTGAGACAGCATCTCAGTCTGTCACCCAGGCTGGAGTGTAGTGGCATGATCATAGCTTATGGTAGGCTCAAACTCCTGGGCTCAAGTGATCCTTCTACCTCAGTCTCCTGAGTGTCTGGGACTACAGGCACATGCCACCATATCCAGCTAATTTTATTGTTTTTGTAGAGACAGGGTCTCATTATGTTTACCAGGTTGGTCTTGAACTCCTGGCCTCAAGGAGTCCTCACACCTTGGCCTCCTAAAGTGCTGGGATTAAAGGCATAAACTGTTATGCCTGGCCTAAAAATGTAAAACACATGCTTAACTGAAGTCTGTGTGTAAGATTTAGCTCAAGGGCTATAGTTTGCTAACCTCTATTCTAGATTTATTTGCAGTGATATTGCTAGCAACATTACTCCTTTTAGAAGAAGAAATTCTTTTCTTACTGCTTAATAGAATTGTAAACTCACTGTTCAGGTAATTTGGTTTTGTCTAATAAACTACTGAGGGCTAATAATTGTAATTTTAATTTTTAGATGGTGACCCTGATAACTATATTGCTTACTATCGGAGAGCTACTGTCTTTTTAGCTATGGGCAAATCAAAAGCTGCACTTCCTGATTTAACTAAAGTGATTGAATTGAAGATGGATTTCACTGCAGTAAGTCTCTAAACATTCTTTAAAGGAGAACTTAAGGGGGATTTGGGAAAGGTGATTTATTTCATCAGGTGAGTACTGGCATGCTAGGCATAACTAGAGGATATCAAAACTACAGTCATGTAGTGGCCTAGGGAACAAGAGAAATTCAAGTCCCTAGAATCAAAGGTCTGTGTGAAAGAGGAACAGTGGATACATTAGGTGAGTTTTCAGAAGCCTGGCAGTGATGTGACCTGTGTGTTTTAGGAAGAAAAATCTGTGTGAAGGATGTAGGGCAGAGCAAGAAGAGAGGCTGAGACATGAGTAAGAGGCTGAATTAAGAGGCTGTCAGATGACTGACAACAGTTTCAATTAAGGCTGTAGCTGGGGAAAATAAAGGGAATTGCTCAATTGAGCAATGCTTTGTGGTGAGGATGCAATGCTCAATTAGCAGAGCCATCCTCTGGAACCAACACACCAGCTTCAGAGGAGGAGAAACTTGTAATCTGATGGAATATCCTGATGATCGGCTGGTCACTGTTAGGGTGATGACAGAGGTGTGCACAGGTACAAGGGACTGATGCAGTGAGATGGAGGCAGGGCTCTCAGAGGCAGAATCGACAGAACCATTTACCAATTAGATAGTTTCAATATTAATTTGGTAACCATTATTTATTTCCTGTTATATTCCAGAAAGGATTTGAGGTAACAGATTAGATATGGGGCGAATATTTGGTTTGAAATATTATTATTATTTTTAGATGAAATTTCTAAGTGTCAAATATTTATTGAATTTACACAGTTAAGCACAACCTTTCACAAAGGTTAAATGGCTCATCTTTCTAACATTATGATAGTTGTTAGCTACTTGAAGTGACTAATCTTTTTATATGCATTGGTGCATTTAACAGAGGATTAGGGAACTTTTATGTACTATAAAAGTAACATAAGGTTAATGGAATATCAATGTGGTTTCTGTTTTCTGGTAGTCATTGGTCATCAGAATTGATATTCTGGAAGAAATGGGATTACACACATTAGAAGAAGAGAAATGTTAGAGATAAAGGGGGAGCAGCTGATGCATGTTGAAAGGGAAGAGTCACTGCTTATTTCCACACAGCGCTTGGCAACCACTTATGGATTTGCCTGTTTTGGATATTGCATATAAATGAAATCATATAATATGTGGCCTTTTGTGTCTGACTTCTTTCACTGAGCATACTGTTTTCAAGGTTTATTCATGTCGTAGCACATATCACAAGTCATTCCTTTTTGTGGTTGAATAATATTTCGTTATATGAATATATCATATTTATTCATTTATTAGCTGATAGGAATTTGGGTTGTTTTCACTTTTTGGCTGTTGTTTTAAACATACAAGTTTTTATGTGAACATATGTTTTCTGTTTTCTTGGGTAGAGCCAAAAGTATTTTTAAGAAAGCTTACTTTAACAAAAATTATATGTATTTATTGGTTCTAGGAATTATTCTGAGTGTCAAGTCAAATGGGCATTGGAAAAATAAATATTTATTAATATCTTTATTAGCTTATTTAGTTGTGTTCTTTGTGTTTAAAGAGATTTAGAAATCTGTAATACTCAGGATACTCTTCTCTTTTTTTCCTAGGCAAGATTACAGAGAGGTCATTTATTACTCAAACAAGGAAAACTCGACGAAGCAGAAGATGATTTTAAAAAAGTGGTAAGTTCAACTGGTATTTGGCTCTAGGAAGATGTTAATTTGAGAGAACATATTGGACCTACTTTTTTTTGTATTAAGACATTTAATAGTAATTTTATAGCTGAGTAAATAGTCTTAGAAAATAAGTAGATAGAAAATAGTCTGATTTATGTATGTAAGAATCACAGATTGTAAATTAATATTTGGTGACAGCAAAGAATCATGTTAACAGTTGGAAGTAAAGTGTACACAATAGATATGTAGTCCTAACTCAGTTTATATAGTTTACTTATTCTTCTTTGTCCTCCATGAGAATCTAAAAATATCAGCTTAACTATTCTTAAAGTCCTTATTAATTAATTCTTACTGGGCATTGGATGTATCTTTTTGGAAACTCTTCGTTTGATTTGAGAGGAATAATAAAACAGATTCCTAAAATGTAATTTTACAGTCTGTTATGGCTGCTTTACAAAGTGCTTTGTATTTGTTTGGGGAATGTTGTGGATCATGTGTCATCGAAGAGGGTATATACTAAAAAATGATTTGGAAAGTGACAGCCAATCTCTTTATGCCCTCATTTGGCTTCTTTTAAGACCAGCATTTTTATTTTTACATTGATTTGTTTCTGGAGTGATCTAGAAAGAGAATATAACCCATTGTTCATTATTTCCATTTTTTTTTATAGTTTATTGAGATGCTTAATTATTATGATAACTACTATGAAAGTAAAACTAAAATTTCTAACATTGTTATAACCCTTGTCATAATAATCATCTGTAGATAAATCCAAAAAACATTAAGCTTAATTGTATTGAATCAGAAGCTGTCTCATGGCTTTCATTTTATGTTTATCTGATCTCCCCTCCTACTGGGGAGGATGCTTGAAAGCAGGCTGTAGACTGGGTAGTGGGGAGGTGATAGTGCTGGAGTAACCTTTCTCCAGCCCAGGCTTTGTTCAGAGCACAGGTGTTGCATAAACATTTGTCTAAATGGCTAAATGAATGATAAAACACGAGAATGTGTTTCTTCTTCTTGCAAATGCTTAAATCTAGTAGGGTTTTTTCCCAGTCACAACTTTAGAGTAGCCTTGTAGAAGTAACATAATTTAGGATATAGTTTTAGCACAAGTTAATCCTTATTGGGCATTGGATATATCCTTTTGGAAAACTGAAATTTTGGAACTTGGGGTTCCAAAATTTGGGGTTAATGTCTTGGGGTTAATGTCTTTTCTGTGATCAACATTAAAACCTCTCAGAAATAAGCGGGGCAACTTTCATGCAACTTTCTACTTTTAGATTGCTCTGTGGCAGTCGTGCTTCTGCTAGTGTATTCTTAAAACTGCTCTCACTATTGTGTTATAGGGATTCTTCCGCAAGAATGTGCATCTGTATTAGTAAAATTTTTACTGATATAATTGTAGATTCTCATGCAGTCTTAAGAAATAATACAAAGGGATCCCAGGTAGCCTTTACCTAGTTTCCCCCAACAGCATCTTCTAAAATTATAGCACAATATTACAACCAGGATTTTGACATTGACACAATCTACCAATGTATTTAGATTTCTTCAGTTTTAATAGTATTCATTTCTGTGTCAGTTCTATACCTTTATCACATGTGTTGGTTTGTGTATCCACCACAACAATCAAGAAACCATCAGGATCTCTCCTGTTGCCCTTTTATAACTATATTCACTTCCACCCCACCCTGCTCTTGTGCGCTGTCCTTAACTTCTGGCAATCACTAATTTGTTCATTTCTTAAATTTTGACATTCCAAAAATGTTATATATATGGACTCAAATAACTTTTTGGAATTGACTTTTTTGGACTGAACATAATTTTCAGGAGATTCATCTAGATTTTTACATATATCTCGTAGGTTGTTCTATTTAGTTGCTGAGTATTCCACAGTATGTGTATGACACATTTATCTCTTTATCAGTTGGTGAACATTTGGGTTGTTTCCATTTTTTGGCTATTGCAAATAAAGCTGCTATGAACATTCTTGTACAGGTTTTTGTGTGAACATAAATTTTCATTATCCCTTAGATAAATGCCCAGGAGTACAGTTGCTGGGTTGTATGGTAATTACATTTTTAGTTTTGTAGCAATCACCAAATTGCTTTCCAGAGTGACCGTACCATTTTATATTTCTCTGCATTCTTGCCAGCATTTGGTATTATTACTACTTTTTTGGCCATTCTGATAGGCATATAGTGTTATATTGTGATTTTAATTTGGAATTTGGATTTCCCTAATGGCTAATGATGTTGAACATCTTTTTATGTGTTTATGTGCCATCTGTAAATCTTTTTCAGTGAAATTTCTGTTCATGTTCTAATTGGATTGTTTGTCTAATTGGATTAATCCTTTTTTTTTTTTGGTTCTTTTTTTTGTTTTTTGTTTTGGGCTTTTTTTTTCCCGTTTTTTGGTTTTTTTTTTTTTTTTTTTGAAGGAACAGTTCTGTTTCATAGCACAATAGGATGACTGCAGTTAACAATAACGTATTATATATTTTCAAAAAGCTAGAAGAAAGGATATTGAATGTTTCCAACACAAAGAAATGATAAGTGTTTGAGATGATGGATATGCCAATCACATTGATCTGATCACTATACATTGCACGCATTATAACATCACTGTGTATCCCATAAACATGCACAATTATGTCAATTACAAATAAGTTTAAAAAATTAGTATAATACCATCACGAAGTTTGACAAACAAGAAAATATTGTCCATAATCCTTCTTTGCTCAAGCGCAATTTCTACCATTTTTGTATTTTCTACATAAATATATAATTTTACAGTTGAAAATAGTGTATTATGTAACTTTGTATCTATTTTTCACTTATCATGCTAAGGTTTTTTTCATGTTGCTACATAGAGTTCCTAATTATAGTTAATGGCTGCAGAATATTCCATCAAATGGTTGAACCGTAATTTAATTAACTATTCCCCTAAAATTATTGTTTCTAGTTTTTTATACTTATTTATGCAATTAGCTTTTTTCTTCCTTTGGCTCATTTTACTAGGATACAGTCTCAGATGTGAGAGACTCAGATGTTTCAAGGATAGAAACAGTTGTATGGGCTCCTAACCCACAATGCCATATTGCTTCTCTAAGGGCTGACATTCTTATTTTGCTCACAAATGAACCCAAACTTACTCTCTTCACAGATCCTTCTCCAATACTCTTTTGCTGCCTCACTTCTGTTCTGAGATCCTTACAGGACAGCCATGGTGAGCAGTTTTTCATCTGTCCCACTCTTAAGTAACCATAAGGACAGTGCCTGGGGTCCACAGTGACATGTTGAGGGGAAATAAATAAAAAGTCGAAAGAGACAGAGGTAGAGGAGTGTATTTATGAGGGCCATGGTGAGCAGCAGCCTGATAGCCAGGGAGACCTCTCTGTGGTGAGAGCTTTCCTGCTGTCCTGGGGTTGCTTCTCCGTGTTGTTATCTTACATAATTTCCTTCCAGGAGCATCTTCCTTTTCCCAGCTCAGGTCTCCACCCAGAATCCTGGGTCACTCCGTGTTCTGGTTGGCCCCCAAGAATTGGTTTGAAAGCACTCTGGGCTTATGTAACAGTTTCCTACACAGACTCCCACTTCTTTTTCTTTTCCAATCTATCTTTTATAGAACAGAAAGTCTTTAATTCTTTTTTTTTTTTTTCTTTTTTGAGACAAGGCCTTACTCTGTCACACGGGCTGGAATTCAGTGGCATGCCCTGTAATCCCAGCCACCTTGGGAGGCCAAGGTGAGTGATCACTTGAGCCCAGGATTCAAGACTAGCCTGAGCAACATAGCAAAATCCCATCTCTACAAAAAAATTTAAAAACTATCCAGGTATGGTGACACACACCTGTAGTCCCAGCCACTTGGGAGGCTGAGCCAGGAGGATTGCTTGAGCCCATGAATTGGAGGTTCCAGTGAGCTAGATCATC